TTGCACCGCCCAATGCCAGTTTGCATTCCTCTGTGTAACTCCAACATTGCACAGATGCCCGTATACACCGATGTAACATAGATGGTTTTCCAAATTTTTTCGCCGTCGGTGGGTTTTGAACTCCCAACCTACCACTTGGAGGGTTGACAACTTATTCACTTCACTAAGTCGCCACACCCTGCCCCCTATTCTTAAATATTATAAATATAATATTTTAATATACCTATAATATTCTTTTTCTTGTTTTGTCTAATTATTATGAATTGTTCATTTATTTATTGTTTGTTCTAATTGTACTTCTGGAATATAACTAATATTAAATTGCATAGGTTTGCATTTAATACATAAATCACTTTGAGGTAAAAAAAATTTAATACTTGAAAGATATAATTTCCAAATATTAATAAAACTTGTTGAACTAATTAATATATTAGAAGTATTTGAATTTATTAAATTATATAAATGAAATAAACTTAAATAACTATCAGTTGCTGGAAAAAAATAATAGGTTTTGTTTCTTTATTAAAATGATGACCTAAAATAATAATATTATTATAATTAAAATTAAATAATTTTTAAAAAGTTTATACTATACCAGAAGATGAAAGTCCATAAATATTAGTATATTTTGAAATAAATATTAAAATATTTATAATTATTTCAAATGAAATAAATATTAAAATATTTATAATTATTTCAAATGAAATTTCATTATTACTAATTTTTTCTTTAAGTTGATGAATAATTGATAAAATATCATTTTCCAAATATGTTTACAAATTGATTTTCATTTCCATTCTGAAACATTATATATTAATAAAAAAGCTTTTAAACAAATATGATTTCCATCAAATTAATATTCATTTGTTAAATATTTTTTGTTAATATTATTTTTTGTAGTTTCTTTTTTAACTAATACATTAAGAATACCTAATAAAAACATATTTTTTTCATCTTTTGATATCATTTGAATATTTTTTCATTTTTTTATTGCAATTTCATGATTAATAATATTTTATATATATTGCAAAGTTAAACAATATTCAAATAAGTCAAATTTATTACAAAATGCATTAATATCTTGATCAGTAAGTGCTTTTTGTTTCTTATCAACTTCACTAATAAAAGACTCAGATTTTTGATTAAATATTTTATAAAAATTATTAATTTCAATTTGAGAAAAAATATTATTATCAATATTATAAAATGGTTCACTACTAATAAAATTATTAATTTCATTATTATTCTGTTCTGAAAATTCAAAATTATTTGCTTCTTCAATGAAAGTAGATTGATAAATATTTTGTAATAATAAAATATTAGTATTTAAAGAAGCTAACTCAGGATAAGTTTTATTAAAAATACTATTAAATAGAGTATGTGACATATTAAAATATAATATTTTATAAATTTTAAATTTAATTACAAAAAAATTTATTTATAAAAAGATTTTAAAAATTAATTAATAAAAAAATTTTGCACAATAAAAATAACAATTGTTTAAATAATTAATTTATATATTTATTAAAATTATAATTTATAATCTAATTACAAATACAGTATTTTATTTTAATCTAAAAATATATAAAAAAACAAATAATATTTAATAAAAAATACAAAAAAATCTAAAACTAATATTTATTCAATCAAAAAATTTTTAATACAAATCTGTATAAGTAAATCACATATGTTTTTTATACACTAGTAAAATTTAAAAGATTTAACATGCTGAATGACACAATTTAAATGCTACTCAAACTGTCATTTGAACTGATATTTAACACTATCAAATAACTTTGTGAAAACACATGTCTGTAAAATCATATAATAGTGTTAAATAATAGTTAATATGGCAGTTTAAGTAATATTCAAATTGTGTTATTTCAAGAATCCAAAAAAAAATACCAAAAAGTTATTAGAAGAACCTCTAAATAATGCTAGAATTATCAGAAATCCAAAAAAAAACTAAAGAAATTCCAAAAGTTACTAAAAAACATTAGAAATATCAAGAATCCAGAAAGAACCACCAAAAGGTTATCAAAAGAATGCCAAAGCCACCAAAAAATGCTGAAAGTCCCAAAAATCTAAAAAAAACCTCCAAAAGTCATCAAAAAAAACTTCAAAAAAACTCCAAAAAATATTAAAAGTACTAAGAATCTAGAAAGAATTATCAAAAAAGTCATCAGAAGAATGCCAAAAGTCATCAAAAAACACCAGAAGTACAAGAATTCAGAAAGAACTTCTAAAACTTATCAGAAGAACTCCAAAAGCTGCCCAAAATGCCAGAAGTACTAAGAAACCTTAAAAGTCATCAGAAGCACCTTCCAAAAAACTCCCAAAAATGTCGAAAGTACCAAAAATCCAAAAAGAAACACCAAAAAAAGTCATTAGAGGAATGCCAAAAGCTACTAAAAAATGCTGAAAGTACTACAAATTTAGAAAGAACCTCCAAAAGTCATTAGAAGAATTCTAAAAGCTGCTCAAAAATGTTGAAAGTATTAAGAAACTTTAAAAGTCATTAGAAGCACCTTCAAAAAAACTTCAAAAATGTCGAAAGTACCAAGAATCCAGAAAGAACTACTAAAAGGTTATTAGAAGAATGCTAAAAATTATCAAAAAATACTGAAACCAAAAATCCAGAAAAAACTTCTAAAACTTATTAGAAGAACCTTTAAAAAAACTTCAAAAAATACTGAAAGTATCAAGAATCCAGAAAAAACTTTAAAAATCATCAGAAAAACCTTCAAAAAAACTCCAAAAAATGTCAAAAGTACCAAAAATCCAGAAAGAAACACTAAAAAAGTCATCAGAAGAATACCAAAAAGCTATCAAAAAATGCTGAAAATACCAAGAATTCAAAAAAACCTCCAAAAGTCATCAGAAGAACTCTAAAAGCTGTTCAAAAACATCAGAAATACCAAAAAACTCCAAAAGTCATCAGAAGCATCTTCAAAAAAACTTCAAAAAATGCCCAAAGTACTAAGAATCCAGAAAGAACTATCAAAAAAGTATTAGAAGAATGCCAAAAGCTACTAAAAAAAGCTGGAAGTACCAAGTATTCAGAAAGAACTTTCAAAAATTATCAGAAGAACTCCAAAAGCTATTCAAAAATGCCGAAAGTATCAAGAAATTCTAAAAGTCATCAGAAGCACCTTCAAAAAAACATTAAAAAATACTGAAAATACTAAGAATTCAGAAAAAAATACTAAAAAGTCATTAGAAGAACTCCAAAGCTGTCCAAAAATGCCAGAAGTATTAAGAATCCAGAAAGAAACACTAAAAAGTACCTTCAAATAATACTGAAAATACCAAGAATTCAGAAAGAACTTACAAAAAGCTATCAGAAGAATCTCTAAAAATTGCTGAAAGTACTAAGTATCCTAAATAAATACCAAAAAGTTGTTAGAAAAACCTTCGAAAATGCTAAAAGTAACAAGAATTCAGAAAAAAACACCAAAAGGTAATCAGAATGACTTTCAAAAGCTACCAAAAAATGCCAGATGTACCAAGAATCCAGAAAGAATCTTCAAAAGTCATTAGAAGAACCTTCAAAAAAACTTCAAAAAACATCAGATGTACTAAGAATCCAGAAAGAAACTCCAAAAGTCATCAGAAGCACCTTTAAAAAAACTCTAAAAAACATTGAAAGTACCAAGAATCCAGAAAAAAACACTAAAAAAGTCATTAAAAGAACTCCAAAAGCTGCCAAAAAACACTAGAAGTACTAAGAATTTAGAAAGAACTACCAAAAGTCACTAAAAAAAACACCAGAAATACTAAGAATCTAGAAAGAAATACCAAAAGGTCATCAGAAGAATTTCCAAAAGTCAAAAAATGCCAAAAGTACCAAGAATCCAGAAAGAACCTCCAAAAGTTATCAGAAAAACCTTCAAAAACTCAAAAAACATTGAAAGTACCAATAATTCAGAAAGAAACATCAAAAAGTCAGCAAATAAATCTTCAAAAGCTGCCAAATAATGACAGAAATAACAAGAATCCAGAAAGAACCTTCAAAAAGTCATCAAAAAAACCTCTAAAAGCCACCAAAAAATGCCAAAAGTAACCAAAAATCTTTAAAAATCATCAGAAGAACATTCTAAAGGGAACTAGAGAACTTAAGAATCTAGAAAGAATTATCACAGAACAACAAAACAAACCTTATTAATTAAATAAATAAAACTATATTAAAGAAGAAACTTTATTAAAAATGAAAAACATCATCACAAAAGTGACAATCTAAAAAAAAAGTTAAAGAAAACATGTTAACCAACAAAAAAACCACTATTGAAAGTGAAAGATGTTAACATAAAGACATAAAGTAATGATCTAAAAAAATTAAAATTAATTAACATTTTAGTTCACATGTAGAAATTCAAATTACAGTTATAATAGAACAAGTTAATAACTGGATCATGCTATTTTTAGACTAGTTTATCTTGTGTAACAAAGTTATATTTATCTAATTATTTCAAAATTAATGATCTACTAAATTCGGTGGTTTTTACTTTTGATCATTCATATTAAGATGTTGTAGAGCTTTGGTTAGGAGGTGTATATTTACAAAGTCATATACTTTGCTCATATCTTGAAACAAAATCCAAATATGGTTTTTGGTACATTTGGCATCTTCAAGAAAGTTATTGAGTATATGGATTAGGTTGTTAGTTGAGTTGTCAGAAAGTGCAACATAGTTATTTAGATTAGAAATTTGGTGTTAAGACTTGTGATAAATGTTAGTAAGAATTTTAGTATATAGTTTCTTTATATGTTTAATTAGACTAATAGGTTAAGTATTGTTGAGATTTTTATCAAATTCTAATTTTTTGAGATAGTGTATATTCTACTAGATTTCTATTATTTTGGAATATTTTGTGTAGTTAAACATTTGTTAAAGAATGCTATAAGTGCAGATTGCATATTAGAACTAAGATGTTTAATCATTTTATAACTAATTCCAGTAGGCCCATAGACTTTGTTATTAGGTAATTGTTGTATAGTGTTTATAATTTTTTTTGTAGTGATTTCTTGAAGTATAGAAGTATAATATTTAATATTAATACTAGTATTAGATTAATATACAGTCTTTCAATTTTGATTGAAGACATTTTTATCAAATGAATGATAAACTGTCTATGTTTTAAAATGTTTACTAACATGCTGTTTAATCTCTGTAAAGTTAGTAATTATACTATTGGTAGATTTGATGTTTTGAAAATGTACTGTATCTGTATATTAGTTTAATATATTGTTGATCATTTTGATTGGTTGAATAGATAATTGTTCACATTATTTGTTTGTAGCTATATTGATATGGTTATGAAGATGTTTGGAATTTTCAATGTTTCTGATATTGTAAAGTGTTTTCTAGAAGGTTTTTGTATGCTGTATCCAAGTAGCTAGGCTAAATTGATAGTTGAGTAGTAATTTAATAGTAAAGTTATGAGTACTATTAATGTGAGTGATAAGGTTTTAAATATTAGTAAGTAATAGTATTTGGTGTGAAAAGAGTTTTTTAACATGATATATAATATGTCCAATAGTTTTAAGATTATAATGTAATTGGGTTGCTTTTGGTGTAAATGTATGATAAAAGTTTTTAACAGTATATTTTTTGTTTGGAATATGTTGAAATACAGCATTAATAATACTAATATGTATTTTATGCCAGGTTTTTTCAAGGCTTTCTGTTGTATTTATTGTAATTAGAACCTAGTGTTGTATTATATTCAAGTTTATTTGATCTGTAAAATCATTTTAGTCCTCTTTGGGCATAGCTTTGTAATTAAATATTTGTTATTTACTCTTTTGTATTTGGCTTTGGTTGTTGTAAATAGAAATGTTTATGTAGAGATTAGGATTTGGTAATTACTATTAGTTGAGAATGATGAATTGTCAAGTTTAAATTTATTTAAGTATGATATAAAAGCATTATGGGCTTATATATAGTCTATTCTGATTTGGTATTAGGTATTATGCCAAGTGTTTTGTAAATTGTTAGTATGATCTGTCAGATCATACATGTTTGTATTATATAAGTAATTAAGTAATTGAAATTTTGTTCCTGATAATATAATAGTATTGTTGTCTGTATTAAAATCTTCAAGTATGATAGGATATAGGTTGAATGATATTGCTTGTTGTGTCTATGTAATAGTAATGTCTTGTGTAAGTTTGTGGTTAGCAGTATTAATGGATGAGAGATATACTAAAATAATTCTAAATTTATAATTATATTTGAAGAATAGGTTTATAGCAATAGCACTATTGAGTTGTATGATTATATTATATATATAAGTCTGAATATTATTTTTAATTATTATACATGTTTCTTCTTTAGATTCTGTGAAGTTGAATCAGAAGTATTAATAATGAGATATGTTTCAGAAT